AAGACCGATTGGACGAAAGCTCCATTCACAGCATCGTACAGAAATTTCAATGCCAATGCATGTGTTTGGTCCTCTGGTACCTCCACTTGTTCTTCAACAAAACCTGCAAGTGCTTCAGCAACCAATGCCTGGTTGAATGAAGAGCTGGATTCAACAAGACGAGAGAGGATGAGATGGGTACAGGAGAATTACATGATCTACAATTACTGCACTGACAAGAAGAGGTTTCCTCAAGGCCTGCCACCAGAGTGCTCAGTCGCTTAAAATGAAAATTTAATAGTGTTGCCGAGAAAATATGTATAGCAAATTAGTTTATTCTTTTATTATTTTTCATGATATAATAATATATGAGCCAACTTTCTAGTCCCACTGTGTTCAGTGCCACTACAAGAATGTATATGGTCATGACTAGGCTACGGTTAACTTTCTTTGGGCACCTACTGTATTATCCGCTAATACTAAATTCTCCCCCTTCAATTCTAAATTCACGAAAGTACCTCTACAAAAGCTAGAATATGAAAAATGTAACCTATCTTCTTATTTTTAATGCTAATAAGTTGTTGAAAATTAACAAAATAGCTTGAACGAATGGCATATTTGGGAAAATTAACAAAATAGCTTGAACGAATGGCATACTTGACTATACCAAGCATCTCGAGGAATGATCATCTAACCCAGCACCAAAATCACCAACTTCTTGTCAAAGCAACCAACTAAAAAAGGCCTTATCGCAACCAACAAGAAGACATAACATCCTAACTAGGCATGCATGAACCCCTTGCTGAATCGAATTCTAGCTGTCAGGCGATCGAGAAGCTGAAACCATTAGATGAGGATGCAACAAAGGAAAAGCAGGAACAAGCGCACTGAGAACATCAATACTGGCATCAATTTCACGAACGAGCAGTAACCAACTAAAAAGTAAAAACTAGTTGAAATGACAAAACAGATACCAGCCAGCCACCATATTAGTGGATCATTATTTGATCCATCCTTTTAGATGCCAGAGAAGCCATAATGTACATGTGGAACAAAAATGTCTACTAATCCAAGTACGAGATGTAGTTTAACCTTCTTTTGGCCCGATCATAACCAATAATTTGATCATGATCCTCATGAGTAGCATTAGCACTATTTAAAAGCTAAAAAGAGAGATATTCCTTTAAAGTTGAATCCAAAAGAGAGATAAATTCTTATTACATCCATTTTTTTAATAAGTAAACACTTCCTTCCCATGTACAGGTATGCTGTTTTAACTCTTAAACACCACCTGTATGCTTATGCAAGAAACATATTTCATGAAAAGGAGGAAATTCATGTCATGTGGTCACAAATGTATTGTGCATTACAGCAACGTTCATGCATGTACTTGTGCACACATGTTACATGTGCATGGTATGTCATGCATGTGTATATGTGCCTGCATTCCTACACACATACTACACATACACACATACGATACATGCATGCATGCCACGCCCATGTGCTGTGCATTAATGTGCCTCAGTATATACCATATAGTGACATTGTAAATTAGTATGAGAAGGTTGATACAAATTTTACCTCTAGATGGCATCAGAGATTTAAGAATCTATGTAGATATTTTTATATTGTGAATAATGTTAAAGAAAAAATGGTTTGCTCAAAACATCAACTTCTTTTATTATTTTATTGTCATCAACTGGTGAATATTAACTTTTACGAGTGATTAAGGTGAATGTAAATGATCTCTGATCTTCTTAGCAAGGCCGCTTATCTCAAGCTCCACCTAAATTACATGTTAATGTAATCAGAATCTAATAAACAAGGTTTTTTTCTATATTTAAAGAGAAGCCTTAACATCCTATAATTTATCTATATTACTGTGCTATTACGTTATTCATCTAGTGACAAATAAACAGGACATGTGATTTAACTATAAATTATTGGTAAAATGAATTCTATGGATTTGTTATCTACTGGCTCTTAATGACACTAATATCTACGTAAGTACACACATCTATGCATGTTAATCTAAACAATTTTCTAATATAAATGAGTTGTGTGGTGATAACCCTCTCTTACCTGCTTTGCAAATAAAAAAAATGCATTTATATCCTCTTGGAGGAGAAAATCATGATTTTTAAGCCCTATAAAATAGTACGTAGGGACATATGCAGGTAAACAATTTATATAAGTTCACACACTATATATATACCACCTGTCTATATTCATGCATTATACCAGGCCTTATGGAAAGTTTAATGTGCAAATCTTTAAGAAACTTAAAAGAATAGAAGTTCAAGAATGCTCACCTGAAGGTGATCCTTGCTCATAAACATTCATCCGAACCAAACACAAACTTGCATGCTAATGATTTCGTGACAACCCTCTTACCTATTTTGTCAATAAGAACAACAACGCATTTATATGCCAAATCTGGTGACCAAATCTGGGTGAGGTATCTCTGGTTTTCTAATACCTATAAAGGGACGTGGAAATACACGAATGGACAACTCGAATAAGTCAGGGTTGTAACCAGATGGGTCACCCTGATCCTGAAGCTGAGGCAGCAGGTAAAGTGGTTGAATGCTATATCCTCCACCTAAGGGTTAGGATCCGATCCCAATAGTACAATTTAGTAATTCGTAAATTTGATTGTTGGCTTGACATACTTTATGATAAATCTTAATAGTAGATTAAATACATTTATCAATGCTAGTTTTTCTTTAAAGGAACCAAATTAGGTAATTCTTCAGATAAGGCATCAATTTTTGCATTTACATTGTTTCTAGAATCAGTCGAATATAGTGGTCTATGATCTTTTAGAATTTCATTATTGTTAACATATTAGTAATAAGTAGGGGGTTATATGTAAGTTGTGAGTGTAGGGGCCTATATAAGCCCATGTTATCTCAGTAATAAATCAAGTGTTTCAATTCTTCATGGTATCAGAGCCGCCAAAAACCCTAGCCGCCAAACCCTAGTCGTCGTCCTAGTCATCACCACGGCGCTACAGCAGCATCTTCGTCTCCTCGCATCCTTGCGACACGGGACCCGAGCCCTCTCAGTTGAAGTCCCGCGCCATCAACACCGCCTGCCCTTTCTGGCTGGGGCTGCGCCTTTCCGCTGGCAACCCACCTCTGCAGCTCGCTGCACCCGAAGGAGCACGCCATCCCGGCTGCACCCGCCTCCGCTGCACCGCACCGTCGCGTTGCACTTCAACACCGCCGCTGGCATCCCGAATCCCGAACACCACTGCACCCACCCAAATCCCGAATCCCGAACCCCGCTGCACCCAAACCTCGCTGCACCTGAATCCTCGCTGCCCATCCACGCCCTCGCTGCACCCGAACCCCTGCTGCCTTTCCCTGCTGCCCAGCACCCCCCCTCTTCCCGCAAAGCCGCTGCCACCTCGAAACCCCTGCTGCACCCTGTCGAACCTAGAGTTTGACATGAATTCCCTTGACATTTCAGTCCCAGAACTGATGAGAGGAAGAGTGTATATCTCATGGAGATGAGATATATCACTTTCGATTCTTATTTCCTCTAAGAAACGAGAATTTTGTTGAGATCTTACTCTTGTTGTGCAGCAGAAATGCTGCCGGAATTTTTCACTACGCACAACAAGGGTTTGAAGAAAAGGTGTACAGGTGTTGGATCGGAAGCCTGGTCGATGGAAGAGATCATCAAGGAGTTGAACCCCGCGGAGGTGTCAACTTTGATGAAGTTGATGAAGTTATCGGCTGATGAGAGCGCGACAAGACCATCGAAGAAGTTGGAGCTTCCGACCATCGATCTGAAGCTTGATGGACCAGGTACTTACCTGAGCTGGTCACGGCGGGTGAGATACACCCTTGCAGGGAGAAACCTGGAGGGTTACTTAACAGGAGAGAAGACAGGGCTCGGAGGGAAGAGATAAGTGGAAATCCACTCATATGTTGGTGTACATCTGGCTTCTCAACTCATTGGTCCAGTCGATCGCCGTCACAGTGGATGACATTGAGAAGGTGAAGGACGTCTGGGAGAAGTTGAGGAGGACCTATGATGGAGTAGGGAATAACCTGAGGGTGTTCCAGATAAAGGGAGAGATCGACGTCACAGTCCAGGGAGAGAGGACTGTACAGGAATATGCTACAGAGCTGGAGCGCCTGTGGCTAGATTATGATCACTTCTCACCTCGGACGAGCTGCAATGACCCGGAGTGTAAAGAGAGAGAGGCCTTTCTACAGGAGAGGACTATGGTGTTTCTCAAGGGGCTGACATCAGAGTTTGCTCAGAGGATTGCATTGCTACTAGTTCAGCCGAAGATTCCCACACTTGAGGAGACAGTCTCGACCATGATCCAGGAGGAGACTCGTATTAGGCTGCAGGCAGGAACATGTGGACTTCCTGTGGTAAAGTCAGCATTGGCAGCCTCCAATTCTGGCAATATTGGACCCAAGGGGGAGACTCGGCAGTGCTACAACTGCGGTGAAGTGGGTCATTTAAGGCATGATTGTACCAAGCCACCTAAGGATAGAGATTCGGGTGGACGTGGACAGTTCAGAGGTCGTGGTCATGACCGTGGGGGTCGACGAGGTGAAAGAGAAGCAAGCAATCAGGCGAATCTGATGGTGGCAGAGGAAGAAGCAGCAGCTGAGGTGGTCTTTATCGAGGAGGATCATGCGCTCCTGGAGATACTTCGGAGGAAGCAGAGAGTAGCAGGAGATGGAGACAGGAGGAGTGGAACCGAGGAGGCATCCACTTCGTTCTTCGCCAAAGGCAACTTTGCTACTTATGCTCATCCGACCAAAGGCACTGATGACATACATGCTCTTGCTTCTATGACTCTCAAGAGACCATCAGAATGGATTGTCGACTCCGGTGCGTCTCGACATGTGACGGGTAATGCTAGTGAGTTCTCATCATACACTCACCTAGCATCAGCAGATAGCATCTAAACAGCTGATGATACATTTCAGCCTGTGGTTGGTAAGGGTACTATTAATTGTACATGTTCTATAACTTTGTCTAATGTTTTGCATGCTCCTTCCTTTCCAGTAAATCTTTTGTCCATTAGTGTTATTATCCTCTAACTAAAATGTATCGTTTCTTTTGACATTCCCAAGGTGATCTTCCAGGAGAAAGGGACAGGACGAAGACTTGGGACTGACACGTGGAGTAATGGACTGTGGTACTTCGATCATGAGGGGTTGGACTCAGCTTTGGTGTCAATGGTAGAGAGAGCAGGAGTAGGATCTGAGATGAGTGTCGAGAGTGTGTTGATGCTTCATCACCAGCACTTGGGATACTCTTCTTTCGGTGTTTTAAGTAGGTTGTATCCATCTTTATTTGAGAAAGTAAATAAAGAAAAACTTGTGTGTGATGCATATAAGTTGGGAAAGCTT